GTCATTTAAATAAAAATGTAAACATCAATTATGTCTCTATTTGTTTCCAACCTTTCTTAGGTCATGAAGGATGTTTATGCATTTTACTTGAAAACAAACTTTTTAGCATCCAGGAAGGAAGTCTCTTCACCCCATTGCACTGTGCTCTGTGAGTTATTATGAATTATTATTAGTTATTATTATTACACATGCTTTTTAGAAGTCAGATTAAATAAATTTAGTGTAGTTCTTCACATTTTAAACACCTCTGTTTGCCACATGCAGAGTTAAAGGGCACGAAGCTGCAGCAGACCTTCTAGTGAAGACTTTTGGCCCTCAAATTGTCAGCATTAGTGACGCCAAAGGAAGGTAGGTAACTTTCATTCAGACGGTTTCATACAACACAGCCAGCAGATGTCAGTAAAGTTAATGTAATAGTTTTAGGTTTATTTTACATGTGGCATTCATTTCCCAGCAGTCATAATACACTGCTCATATTATTTTTTATGATTGCTACTCATTTAAAAGTGGCCTAATTTGAGATGTACAGTGTGATTTATTTATTTTTTCTCTATATTACATAAACAGGCTCTACTCAGGCTACTACTAAAGCTACAAGTTATTTTGTATGATTCGGTTTTAATGGATTTTTAAAAAAATGTTTGCATCACCTTTCCCAAACTGGACAGTGTTTTCTCCTTCGTGGGCTGTGAACATTTCTGCTCATCTAGTATTTTGATGTGTTCCTTGCTTGAGTTCAGGACCCCACTGCATGCTGCTGCATATTCAGGGAACGTTGCTGGGCTGCAGCTGGTTCTGGCCCAGGGAGCACAGGTTAATGCTGTGGACCACTGTGGATGCTCTGCTCTGATGGTTGCTGCTGCCTGTGGACAGACCAGAGCTGTTGGTATGTGTGAAACAAGGAAGTCCTTTGAAATGTTTTTGTTTCTTTCTGCACCTGGAAACCTTTAAAAACTATCTAGACTATTTAGAGCTGGAGAGCTTCTTTTCTCACATCCCTCAGTGATGGTTTCTTTTAATAAACCACTTTGTTCCACTGTTGCACTGTCATGTGAAAACACCAACCAACAGCTTGAGGTGTAGTAGTCTGGGTTTGTTGATGTTTACTTCCTGTATTTCAGAGTTCTTGCTGAACAAGGCGACCCCAGACCTGACCCTGGTGGATTTCAATAACAACACAGCCCTTCACTTAGCCTGCAGCAAGGTCCCATACACACAAACAAATGGGTGCACTAAATGCATGCAGTGTCACACAAATAGTTGCATGAGTGTAGCAGGAGATCAGTTTAACATCCGTCACAGAAGGTGATTAGAAATGTAATGCATGAAAATCAAGTTTAATATGTATCATAACTGTTGTTTGTCGGCCTGTCTGGAGTATAATTCTGATTTAATTTGAATATATATGTATATATATATGAAACCTGCATATGCATGGCTCATAATACTAAGTACTTGTTTTGAATTTCAGTGAATAAAGCGGATGGTTTTAACAAAATTAACATGCTTTATTCTGCAGGGTCATGAGATGTGTGCCTTGTTAATCCTGGGAGAGATCACCGATTCCTCACTCATAAATGCAAGAAACAACGCTCTCCAAATGTGAGTTGTCTTGACGTAGCAGTCAGCTGATCTCCATAAACAGTTATCTGCAGAGACACAAGAAGGTTTCTGGTTTCTGTTTGTTGTCCAAGTATTATTGGCTGGCCACACTGGAAGCCCAGAAACATATAATCATGGTAAAAAGAAAATACACCTTCCCTGACAAAATAAAAAAATAGTCTTATCCTTAGCAGGTCTTCAAGCAGCAAAGTGCACTCTTACTACTTCCAGGTGCTGCTAATCAAATAAAATTGATTAACTGATTCTCAGCAAGCATGAGCAGCTCTATAAAAGTGAAGGTTTTGGCAGTTTTGCCAGTCTGGAGCATTCAGTTGTGTGTTAACACGATGTCATGCCTTGTTCTGCAGACAAAGAGAAAATGTGACAAATCTGAATGTCTGTTCTGAAAAACATAAATGTCACTGTAGTTTAATCTGTCCTCAGTGCACTGTAGTCAGACCTTTTATTCTCATGCAGGCCGCTTCACATTGCAGCAAGGAAAGGTCTGGCGACTGTTGTGCAGGTGTTACTGAGCAGAGGAGCAGCAGTCATGGCTGTAGATGAGGAAGGTAGGTTGGGATTATATTTCTGTGATAAGAATACCAAAGCAGGTATGTTCAACCTGCAGAGGATTGTGTGGGTTACTGATTTGTCTTTTTATCCTCTGCAGGCCACACGCCAGCTCTGGCCTGTGCCCCGAACAAAAACGTAGCAGAGTGTCTGGCCCTCATCCTTTCCACCATGAAGCCTTTCCCTCCCAGAGAGGCTGGTCCTAACACAGCCTCCCACTTCAGCCCCATCCTGAAGAACTGCACTATCGCTGCCTCCTGCGGGGCCAGTGGAAACCTGTGCCATGCCTGAGCACAGGACCAAATTCACACTGTCAGTCAGTGTTAGCCTGTAAGCCACTTTTGTGACAAAAATGCAGCTTCATCCCAGCGTAACCCAAAGTCACCATGAACACCTGTGGTCATGCATAGCTTTTTGTCTCTCGTGTCATGCCATTTCTATACATGACAGCATATGCTTGCTCGCCAGTAGCATAAAACCTAGTCTTACTCTAATATTAGCTTTCACATTATTCTCTCTATTAAGAGTATAGTTATTTTAATGAAGTACTAATCTTTAGATATGAATGGAAGGTTTAAAATAAGCACACAACACAAGCCTCCCCACCTGAACCTCATCCACTATCAGTATTTACTTTTATTTAAGCAACATAATCTCAAAACTCCATGTTTGTCTTCAGTTGATACGAGTGCACAGATGCTCAGGTGTTTAGTGTCTGTGTGTGTGCGTGTGTGTGTGTTTGGCTTAGTTTTCATATTACTAGATGCTGCTTCTAAATATAAATATTTTAATATATCTAACAGGTGCTGTAAACCTTTTATGCAATTAATAGCACTATTTTCTTATCCTACGCACGGTGTAGCAAACACTACACTGATAAAAAGCCACCTATTATTCTGATATTATCATGATTTAAAACTTCAGTTAGCCTACCAGCCATAAGCATGTTTATAGTTTAAATGAGAATTTAACAACTTTAGTGTATATAGCACTCTTAAAATGAAGTTAACCTTGAAAATCCCAAATTATTGGATTAACCTCAGGTCAGTGTGTACTGTAATCCCGGTGCAATAACAAGCACTGCTCAGACTGGATGTTACATACTGGTATAAACTATGAGTATATCAGTTCAATAATCCAGACAGAGAAATGTCAAATAAATAATCAACGCATTAGTTGCTGTGAACACTTTAAATACATTTAAAAAATTTCACAAGGCTTTAAATGTCGAGTAGAAATGGTAATTGTTGAATTAATTTCGAGTCCCAAAGCATCTTTGAATTATTTTTTTCTCATAAACGTTTAAAGACCCAAAGATGATTATAATCTATCACAAACACACACATTTGAGAAGTTGGAATTAACAGATACCCAGCTTGTTTTTTGTTTGTTTTAATGACATGCTGTATTATCAAAATTCGTGTTTGATTTAATCAGTAAAGCATGAACAGTTAGGTGAGTTATAAGGGGTTTTGTTTTTTTCTATACAAGATCTCAGTGGGGAAGAAACCCAGAGTCACAGCACGTGTTCAGGAGCTAGCGCTGATCTGTTCCTGTTAAACATTTGCAAACTTTTGTCATTGTTATAAAGAAAATTGGTGACCACAAATTAATTTAGATACATAAAATTATCTGTGCTGCTACAAACAAGCCTCACTGCCTCTCTCTTTAAAGATCAAACTTTTTATAAATAGTGTTGTGCATCAAATGTTTGCCTTTTTTTTTAAGTCGAAGTCAAAGGCCAGACCTGCAGCTCAGCAGATGCCATTTATCCAAAAGATATTTTCTTCCTAGTTATAGCCGCTGTGTTATCTTAAAATGCCTTTAAACTATTTGCACTCTGACATCAAAGTTTACATTTTAATGAGGGCATCCTTCCTAGGGTTATGGTGTTGTGTTTGGATTAAAATAGGGAGAAAAAAATCTGTTAGGCATTTCTAAACACAATGTGTAATGAAATGTTGTGAATAACTTCAGGAATTGCCCTGTTGCAGCGTTTCATGTGAGCAAACTGTGTCTTCCGTACAAGTTACTCAAATTTGAGGATGTCACAGCTTGAAAGTGTGGTTTGGTTGTGGCTGGCATTCATAATAGGCCGGAATAAATGAATCACCACCATCTGAAGAAGTCTTGCTGTCTTTATTTTATTATTTCAAAATCTTATTAGAGTTTGATAAACGGAAGCACCGATCTGGGCTCATCATCTTGTCTGCACCCTTGTGTTCTTCCTTAGAGATAATGCCCGCTGTGTAAGGAAACAGATTTTTGTGCTGGCTCGATTCATTTTTGTCAACGAAACTTTGAATACATCAGATTAGATTTATATGAAAATCTTTTTAATTTTGGTTTTCAGTTCAGTGAGTTTCTTGAATGAATTTGCTTGTTACCCTTTTATTGTATTAAATATTACTTTTAGTTTTGTTTATTTGTTATAGCCTGATCTTTAGCTAATCTGGAGCTGTGTGTTACACTATTCCTCTCTCATACCAACCCTCTAAATGGTCTCCATGAATCTTGTATTTAGAGCCAAAATTTGAAATTTGTGATTAAGTCGAAATGTTATGATACCTAGTGGGACATTTTGAGGTAACTCAAATAAAATTTTGACCTGTGGATGGCCAAAAAAAAAACAAAAGTGGGGGAAACACGCTTCCTTCATTTCCTGGATTATTTATTTAGTTTATTTTATAGGACTAAATTGTTCAAAGAAAAATCGTTTTGGTTTAGCTTTTGTTATTATTACTACTACATTAACTTTGGTGTAAATCACTACAGTCTGCTCTTATATTGTTCCACCTGGTGCCTGGAGGTCGATAAAAATCGCAGCACGTCACTAAAGCCTGTCCTCACCCGGCTGCCGTCGCCGGTCCGGGGTGTCCGTCGCCGTCCACTTGAGCACCTTCAGTCACCAAAATGGCGAATGTGGTGCTGGAGTTTAAGGTTTCTGCCGGTGATTCAGAGCCACAGAGTCGCCCTGTCCTGATCATCGGGCAGCACACCAACCTGCAGCAGGTCAGCTGGAGCCAGATCAAAGGAAAACTCCAGCCGGTCGTTAGCAAAGAGGTAATCTTATAAATGATAACAAAAGCTCGGTACCGGCTAATGTTAGCGTCACGCTAAGCAAAAGTTAGCAAAAGCTAGCACAGCTAAGTTATTTCATGACACAGCTAGCGAAAAAGAGTCCAAAGGGCAAAGCTATAACGGTGTCAGTGTAGGCTACTTAGTAAGCTAAGAGCTACAATAGTCAAGAGATGTTTGCGGTCTTATTTGTTTTAGGGTTTTTTTTTCCATTATCATTATTATTGTCATAATCACAATTATTATTAGTATGACCGTAGAAGTAAATCTCACAACACCAGTAATTCGTATTTTGCTTACTTCCACGGTTGCCCGGCTGTCACATAACTCCTGGATGATTGTAGGTTAGAAAAGCAGTACTTAAACCCAGACAGTGGTCATTAACCTGTCTCCGAATAGGATTTTGCAACTGGAGCATTGACGAGGTTAAAGTCCCAGTCTTCAGTATCCAGATAACTAATGCCGTACTACTGCAGCATATCGCATATGTGTAAACTTATTTTCAACATAATCGACATACTGTCGATGGAGTTTGTCCAACGTGCTCCTGGTGAGTGATTAGATCACTGGTGGTGGATTTGGTGGGCAGACTAATACGCTCAGAGTCATTGAGTGTGACAGTTTTCCAATCAGCGTCGGACTGTTTGTGTACAATGATTTGCTGAGACACTGTTGGCCTGCTCCATGAAGCGCTCTGATTATTCTGAGCATGTGTATGTACCTTCTAAGGCGATAAGTGTGAAAGCATCTGGAAACATTGTGACACTAGGAATTTTTCAAACCCAGTATCTCAAATTCCCATCACCTACTGGTTCACTTGCCTCTGATTTTAATCTGGTGGAAGCACTGTGTACATACTGCTGACTGGTTATAGTCTTTCCAAAACATTCCCAAAACCGCTTTGTAGATTCCTGTCATAAACATCTGGAATAACATATTTAATATTAATAGTGGATTATTATTACATCATCAGAGATTGTTGATTTCCCAGACTGCTTGTACTTAGTTTACAAAGAGTAAAAGAATTAGAGGATTTAACAAAAAATGTTTTTCAAAGCTTTAACATCTTTGTGGTGAGTCAGAAATGTCAATTTTTCCTCATGTTTTCTCAGATCTGGCAGGCAGCTCTGAGTGCTTTAAACCCAAACCCCACGGACAGCTGCCCCCTGTACCTCAACTATGCCACAGTGGCCGCCATTCCCTCAAGGGTCAGCAGGCACAACAGCCCGTCTTCTGCCCACTTTGTGTCCCGCCTGGTCCGTTCCTGCCTTCCCGGAGGGAATAACCGCTGCATTGTGGTCAGTATTTTCAATCAGAATTGTTTCCTGTTTGTTCTTCGGGGAAGTCAGAGGTTACTTTAAGCTACAGAACAAATCTGTTCTTTATAGATGCCCGCTTTCTGTGCCATGGGACTTCTGGGAGTCCCATGGCACTCAAATCTGGGTCATCCAGTGGTGAGGTTGTTTGCTTCACGAAGTGGCTAACACATCTGCTCTCCAGATGGTGTGTGAGCGTTCAGATGTGTTTGCATCCTGCTGTGCTATGGCCCGGGCCTTCCCCATCTTCTCTCGCCGCTCCGCATCCTCACGCAGAACTGAGAAGAAGCATGTGACCGTGGAGTTTGTGATTGTTGGGCAAGATGCCAATCCTCTGGAGGCTGCAGAGCTTGAGGTACTTTAAAGTTTTGGGTTTTAATTGTTAGTGCTGCTCATAATTGCCTTTTTTGTGTGTGTGGGTGGTCTGCCATCACTTAATGGCCTTTGTTTTTCATCCCATGTTCAGTGTCTTTCTAACGCTGCTGATGGAGTTCGACTGAGCGCTCGCATTGTGGACACTCCATGCAATGAGATGAACACAGATCACTTCTTAGATGTAAGTGAAAGTCTCTGATTTGCATAAACTTTGTTAACCTGTAACACGTTTCCATGAAAACGTTACCTGTTAAGCTTCTGTGTCCTCATTTCAGTTTGCCCATTCTCACATTAGGCTATAAAGTTAAGTCAAACTGTCGTCTATTTATTGATGTTAGTAACAGAAAGTGAATATCTTAAGATATTTGTTTACAATATCAGGAGTTAATTTCGCAAACCCATTGCATCACTTACATATCGACAATACTTTTTTATGTACACTTTAATACTTTTTAATTTTTAATTTAGAAGTAAGGAGGGTTGAAATCTGTTAAAACTAGTTTTAATATTTCTACTGCAGTTTTTCATCACAGCCATAAATTTCTGTTTCAGGAAATCAGGGCTGTGGGGAATGAACTTGGAATCACTCCAGTTATCATTCGTGGAGAGGAACTGAAACAAAAAGGGTTTGGAGGTACGACCTCTGCGCATGCCTGTGTGCTTTATTTTTAGCTTGAATTGTCACAGTTCTCCAGAATTGCTATGTCAAACTTTTTTGTTGAGTGTGCTTTAGCTAGAGAGACTCGTGGTGCAACTCTAATGGAAAGAAATGGTAAACAAGAAAGTCAGCTGCGCTGTTCACGGTGTCTGGTTTCAACTGAAGACGCCAACAATCTTCAACAAGCTTTAAAGCATGGAGAGAATTTAGAAAAAAAATCTAATACATTTCTTTTTACACCTCAAATACTAAACATGCATATATACAGGAAATACTTGGTTGAGATTTCCCTAGGGACACCAGAGTGATGGATTTTTGGGACTGATCCCTAGTAGCATATTTTGAAGCTAGGCTATATATTATTTTAGTGTTTTAGTATTACGTATAAGAGGCCGTAATGAAGTGCTAGCTAAAATATGATCCTAAAAGGACAAATCAGTGGCAGGCTGTCGTAGCAAAAATGCAATCAATGAAAATTTGACTTATTCTTTAAGGACTAAAATGGGCACCTATAGAAAACTGTGCCTGTAAGTCAAAACATGGGTCAAAGCTTAATTTGTGTAAAAGTCTGAACATTTCAGATCTTTGAAAATGCCCCCGTTACCTCTATGTCTTTGTTGTGCTGTAAATTTGTTTCTTCTCCCTTTTCTGGTTTACGTTCCCTTTTCTGAAGAAAAATGGGCAAATAGAAAGGTTAAAAATTGATCGCTGGATTTAATTTTCTAGAAGATTTTCAGAAACCTGCGGTGGTGTGTCAAAGCCACAGCAACTGGTCACAGTTATTCATCCATTTTCTTTCTTCACCCTCTCAGGTATTTATGGTGTTGGAAAGGCAGCAGAGCACCCTCCTGCGTTAGCGGTACTGAGTCACACTCCTGAAGGCGCTACCCAAACAATTGCATGGGTGGGCAAAGGAATTGTGTATGACACTGGTGGACTTAGCATTAAGGGAAAGGTATGCTTCTGTTTCCTGTGGAGATGATAACTAATCATCTATTTAGAAAAACAAACCTGCATGTCTCACTTGAGTATATTTTACAGTGTTACTGGGATAGCTGATAGGTGAGAGTTGTCTGTATATAGAAATATAATTTAACAGGAATAGAAAATTATGTTAATCAAGTGGAAAATGCAACAATATTTGGCTTAACTCATGTATTTCACCTTAACAGTGCACTGAGTCATGGTGTGTTAGCACAGAATTTGTTGTGTGTACCCCAAACATTAATCTTCACTGTGATCTTGTGGACCATGTTGCACCTCCAAAGTCTCTGTCTGCTGTAATCTCTTAAGTTTGACAACTTTCAGTAAGCTCATCCACTGTCTGGGCAGTCTGGATGATCCTGGAAACCTCCACGCTGATCTTTTAAATAAGCTCTAAGCCTATTCTCAGTAATCTGTTAGCAAGTAGCACCTTTTATATTCACTAGTTCAGCCAAAAAGCTTTTCTTACTGTAAATGAATTTATAGACAACTGGGTTGCTGTCCTGCTCACTGCAGAAGAGATCCATTACATGTAAATAAGTGTTGGTTTTTCCTTCTTCTAGACCACAATGCCAGGGATGAAAAGAGATTGTGGTGGAGCTGCTGCCGTTCTGGGAGCATTCAAGGCCACCATTAAACAGGTGAGATGACAGAAGGATCCCACATCAGCTCTCACAGCTGTCATTTGGGCCTCAGTCTCAAATGACTAATTGGGAAGTAGTTGCTGGCTGTTGCTAAACGAAGCCAGTCGTAAAGAGGCTGCTGCACTAAAAACCTCTTTTTGATTGTTTTGGCTGCTTGTATTTTTTTATTATTATTATTATTTTTCATATAAAGTATGTGCAACTGTGACAATCTGCTAGCAACATTGGCAGTTACAAGAAGTTTTAGGTGCAGCACTTTATACCAGCCTCTGTCTTCTGTTTGTTTCAGGGCTTTAAGGATAATCTCCATGCAGTGTTTTGCCTCGCAGAGAACTCAGTTGGACCCGCAGCCACGCGACCTGATGATATCCACATTCTCTATTCTGGAAAGTGAGACTTTTTTTTATTTATTTATTTTTAAGTAGTAATATATCATTTGCTTGGAAATTGATTTGACACACTTGGTATCAAATTACCTGTGTGGTTTGTATTCAATGTCTCTCTGCCATCAAGGTGTGACTGCACATAAACTGCGTCCGATATCATTTTCCACGCTAACTCGAGAGAAATGAATGTGGGCAGTGGTATAAAATGTCCATTCTCCCTTTAAAGGTCAGTGGAAATCAACAACACTGATGCAGAGGGCAGGCTGGTGCTGGCTGATGGAGTAGTGTATGCCAGCAAAGACCTGGCTGCTGATATTATTCTGGATATGGCTACACTGACAGGTGCACAGGTGGGTGACTCTCACTAAACCAACCACTGCAGGTGCCCAGATCAACACATTCTGTACTGTGAGGCAGGTGCTGCTTCATAGCTGAAGTCTCTTTGTTTCTGTTGCTCAGGGAATCTCCACAGGAAAGCACCACGCAGCTGTGATGACAAACAGTGAGCAGTGGGAAGCTGCAGTTGTGCGTGCGGGCCGCAGCAGCGGGGATCTCGCTCACCCTCTGGTCTACTGCCCCGAGCTGCACTTCAGCGAGTTCACCTCTGCTATGGCTGACATGAAGAACTCTGTGGCAGTAAGTGGCAAAATCCACACGCGTGGCAAGACACAATCCATATCAGACACGGAAGAATTTAAAATACAGGGATTTCACCACCTACTTCAAACAAGCTCAGTTTAGCTCGTTCATCTTGGTACTATCACATGGGTGGCTCAGGAATTTTGCACAGTATAAATTGCAATGAAATTTTTATTTTATTGTTGTGTAAATCATTATATATTCCTTAATGTATAATGTATGTGTATGTGTTAGTCCCGTAGGGAAATTACTCCTCTGCATTTAACCCATTCACCCAGTGAAGCAGTGGGCAGCCACCAGTGCAGCGCCCGGTGCTCAGGGTTACCTCCAGGTAGCCTTCAGTGAGCCGATCATGGGGCAACCACTTTACCTACTGAGCTATCTTTGCCCCCCATTAAGTCCTTTAATATTGACAAAATCTGGGAGATGTGCTTCCAGAAAGTGACCTGACACGGTTGGATGAAGAGACGTGACCTCACCATTTTTAAGTTTTTACAGCACATAAAACCACTGATCTCTGCTAAAGAGAAGAAAAGAAACAGAAGATTTTATGAGTTGTATGGTTTTGTGAATTTTGTGCAGACTTGTTATCGTCAGACTCGTCGATAACAAGTGTGACGATTTTCCAAAATATCCAAGCTTAGGGCGATCCGTGATAACTCGCTAACGGAGATTTCCCGCGTTAATGCGGTTATGGCGTTAACGTCATTTTAACAAAATTAACACTGACAGCATTAGTATTTTTTTTTTCAATGGCTGTTATAATTTATTCAGGCTTGGTTGCTGAGGTGCGTGTGTTTTGCATTGACAGGATCGGGAGAACGCGCAGAGCTCCTGTGCTGGCCTCTTTATTGCATCTCACCTGGGCTTCGATTGGCCCGGTGTCTGGGTCCATGTTGACATTGCCTCTCCTGTTCATGCTGTGAGTATCCCACGCTTCACTGTGTGGATGTGATTTTTAAAAAGCAAGCCTATGAACACATTTTTGTTAACTAAAATAAATCATTATGTTGTTCATGTTCATACATCACCAGCAATACAGTGCGGTGCACTTAAAACACCGCTGCAGCACG